ACTGTATTAATGTGTCGTTGACACTCCGTCACACCGAAAATGTGTCATCCACATATCTTAAACACACCAAAAGTTTAACACCAGAAGCATAACAGGAGACGAAAAGACCCCATAGCTAAACCTTTAATCTGTTTAAATAATGTATTCCCTACCTAAAATATGCTGTCAGGTTTTAAAGGGCCGCGATTTTTTACAGTAGGTGTCTGTGACTTGTTGGCGATAAATTTCAACAATAAACGAAAAGCACACAATCCACTTGTTTTAAAATAATATATTCAAAACAAGTCAAACGTATGTACAAAAATTTGTTACACTATTGGTTATGACATTTGTATTCGGAGCTTTAAATAATCGGATATTTTTCGTCAAAATTCACACAGGCGTGTTCAATTACTTTAGAAAATCCTTTGACAAGACAAATTGTTCTTTTATATCTCTGTTATTACAATACAAACAGTGAAACTTACTTTAGAAATCGCCACTATACGCTTTTTAACGCACAATCACGCAGTCTAACTTCAATTTGTTTACTTTTATTTTCACTAACTTGACTGAGGCCTAGAACATTTAACAAACTGCAAGATGTATGATATAACAATACTCACTTAAAGCAACGAGAAAAATTCAGAAGGTTCCAGCAACATGACGTCAATTCACAACAATTGAACTACGCAACAAATGATTTCTCGTAAGCAAACTTGCGATAAATTATCGCTTCTAAAAATACTAAATTTAACACTCGCGCTTTACAAGTCTCCAGATCATAATTCTTGTATTAAATTTAAATGAAACAGTCGTGTATATCTAACATATACGTTCGACACACCATCGTTAAGGTAAGTAGGTAATACGTGAAGCGAATCAAGGAATGTATTAGGCCTTTACGTCACAGGTTATAGTTTAATTTTTACCTTTGGTGAAATCTGTAATATTATCATTAAAAAAAATTGGCCCGTTTTATAATACCGAATAATAAATTAGGTGCACCGCCATAACGTTATTCACACACATTTAAATTAATATAGGGTTACTATATGATGAGTGGAAAAGGGATTAAAAACCCCATAAAAGTTACAAAGAGTTCCACCTATCGTTCTGTTTCCATTTAACTAGTTCTAGGATCAATAAATATTTTTTTCTCAGTTTAGTCTATGTTTAACTTAGACACTATATGATATATGAATTATCATATTCAAAACTTCAGGAGCAACAAAAACTTTCTATCGCAAGTTTAATAGAATTGGAACTTTATCCACATGTGAGCTAAACGGACAGGTCGGAGATCCCTAGTGTTCAAATGTAGCCTTCACTAATTTTGTACTACTGAGGAAAAGGAAGACAACCATCCAGCAGCACACACCGCCACAAGCGCTTTGTCAGACTTTATGAAGCAAATAACTCAAAAACAAACAAAAAATTACCGTGGTAGGAATTATGTTTTGTAGAGAAAACCACGTGCTAGTGGTCTGCTCTTCCCACCAGGGGTACTCGGGAACGTTTATTTCCCTTCAACTCCGCACGTGGAAATAATTAGCTACAGTGACTATAATCACGGGAAAAGTGTGAAGAAGGCCAGAGAAGGAATAATGTAAGTCTTGTCGATGATGTGTAAAGATGTTGTGGCTGTCGATGATGTATAGAGACGAGACTGAGAGATGCATTCGAAGTATTAAATTTAAATCATATTGACTATTGAATTATTGTAAAATTAATTCCGGAATTTAGAAACTAATTTCACTTTTTAAATAAACTTTATTGAATCGGATTTTATCGAAACGAACTGCCTTGGAGTCCCTTTTCAGGTGGTTGGGGGGACCATATGACTTTCTATCTGTTCTGTGCCCTGGCCGTAAAAAGAAAACATGATAGTTACCAGCAACAACATAACATAGTGTTGAACCCTTTGTGTGTGTGTGTTTTATTCTTTGTTTTCCTGTTTGATTATGTGTAAAGATTGTATGACGTAGTGTTTGATAGTGACGCTAATACGTTCCTGTAGCGCAACTGTCAATTTATTTCTTTTTTTTTTATAATATTTAAAAGCTAGTTTGGTTAAAGCGTGTAGGTCTCTGATTTTATGTGTGTAATTTACTGGGGTCAATTTTGGAAGTTTCTGTTTTGTTGTACTTGTAGTTTTCCGAGGTTATTTTCTGACATGTTATAGGTTATCTGACAGCCGTATTCGTAAGATTTTATCTGGTTGAATAAAAGCAAGAGTAAGTCTTAGTTCAAAAGTTTCCACAATACATGCAAGAAGAATCTTTAACAAACCTAGCGGAAAGTTATCTGAAAAAGCATTGCTGTGATTGAAAAGAACATAAAAAGTTTTACATCAAAGAAAAAAAAAAATCACACTTCTTTTATATTATCCTTCCCAGTTTATGTTTACATATTTTAATCCTCTCAATATAATCCTTTTGGTATTGTTGACTGATGTTCAGTCTCTTCTGGTCTATGACATAAAACCACATAAGATTACAGGAACACATAAATGAAAAGACATTTCATAAAAAAACGAAATATGGAAAGTTATTTCGTAAATCTTGGAGGGAAATAAAGATGAGATGTGAAATGATTTGAAATACAGGTGAACGAACGCGAGAATATTTCGATATACAACGAAAAAAGAATGGTTATTTTCGTCCCTTATTCCCGCGATATTTTTTATTTACACACACACATATATATATATATATATATATATATATATATAGGTTGGAACTAATAGCTTTCAAAAGCCTAGTGTGACAGGATAAGTTTACAATCCCAAACTCACCAGCATAAACTTCACGCAGTAATTCACAAGCTACTTTTCGGTAGACTAAAATAATACAAAAAAAAGGAGAAAATAAAATATATATATATAAAAAGAAAGAGTGAAAGAGGTAGGTTGCTATGGTATTATCTTGGTCGTCTGTAACGAAATATTCTCTGCTTTCTTTTTTACCAGTTTCACAGTCGTAAGAAGGTTTACCAGAAAAATAATCATATTAAATTCGTAAATAAAAGAAGTGGGCAAAAAAACAAAAAAAAACAAACCTAAACTGATTACATACTGCGATTACGAGCTCCACAGATTAAAGAAAGTCGAGAAAAGCTACAAGCTTGTTAGGTTTAAACTGGCGAAACTCTGGACCGATTGTCACCAAATCTGATATATAACCTTAAGGCTACCCGGGGAGTAACACAGGGAATCGCACTTCGGATCTATGTCATCCAAGGGACCCCTATATCTTCTAAATATTCGGTAATTTCATAAACAAGTCTGTGTCAGCTTATAACTGACGAACTGCTGGACCGATTGTCATCAAACTTGGCGTATAACCTTAAGGCTCCCCGGGGAGTAACATAGAGGATAGCACTTCGGATCTATGTCATCCAAGAGACCCCCCCCCTGTCTTAAAGTCATGGAGTAATAGAGGATAGCACTTCGGATCTATGTCATCCAAGAGACCCCCCCCCCTGTCTTAAAGTCATGGAGTAATAGGGGATCGCACTTTGGATCTGTATCATCCAAGAGACCCCCTTGTCTTAAAGTCATGGAGTAATAGGGGATCGCACTTTGGATTTGTATCATCCAAGAGACACCCCCCCCCCCCATGTCTTCTAGTCAGTTAAAGGAAAATCGTCTACCGTCGTCATGAGAAAATCCACAAAGTGAGGTTAACTGAGGATTCAAATATTCTCTCACACACCAAGGCAAAAATCGAAAAGGGGAGGGACTATAAACCCCCATGTGCTTCAATATTTTGTGAAGTTGTTTTAGCAGACGATTTGAAAATCACTATTAGCAATAATTATCAACTGATAAAACTTATTATTATTATTATTAATTTGGCCAACTCTGCTGTCTACCTATTTATTTAAAAACATAAAAATTAAACACAAAAACCCACGTGATTCCAGATTTTAATGTAATTAAAATTTCAGAGTAGCTATTCAGGTGAAAATAAATTATTTATCATGTCATAAAAATTAAAAATATTTAAAAGTTATGAGAAGAATAACACATTAACAAGTATCAGATATAAATTATTTAACATAAAACCTAACCAGAAAAACTACGAGCAAGAAAAAAAAATACAATTACAAACAGTGTTACGAAAGTCTTGAGCGTCAGCAGTAAATTTATGTGCTGGACTTATAACTCTAAAATTCGGGGGTTCAAGTCTCCGCGTGTGGAGCGAACATAGACCAGTATCTAACCTGTTTTAAACACATAACGACGTTTGTTGTGTTATTATACACATAACGACGTCAGTTAAGTGTTATTAAACACACAACTGTAACGACGTTTGTTGTGTTATTATACACATAACGACGTCAGTTAAGTGTTATTAAACACATAACTGTAACGACGTTTGTTAAGTGTTATTAAACACATAACTGTAACGACATTTGTTAAGTGTTATTAAACACATAACTGTAACGACATTTGTTAAGTGTTATTAAACACATAACTGTAACGACGTTTGTTAAGTGTTATTAAACACATAACTAACGACATTTGTTAAGTGTTATTAAACACAACTGTAACGACGTTTGTTAAGTGTTATTAAACACATAACTGTAACGACGTTTGTTAAGTGTTATTAAACACATAACTGTAACGAAGCTTGTTAAGTGTTATTAAACACATAACTGTAACGACGTTTGTTAAGTGTTATTAAACACATAACTGTAACGACGTTTGTTAAGTGCTATTGAACACTTAAACACTTTATTAACTTACGATACATGTAACTGTAATGACGTATATAGTATTAATATGCAAGTACTAATAACAACGAAGATAAAGTAACACCTAGGTAGTCAACATTACAATCGTACATTGTATATTGTCTATTTTGCTTCTTATGTGAGCACAGATTTTATAGAAAAAAAACACACTTTTCTCGCCGTCACCATCTGCATTTCGTCTCACACAGATGTTTGGAATAGGAAAAGGTGGTTCTGGATGTAAATATAGAAACATGGTTCTCCATCCAGACCAACACACCTGCCATTTTATAAAATGTGGTCAGATAGAGAAATACGGTGAAGTCGTACAATACCAAGGTTCCAGGTAAAAGGTAGGACGTATTTATTACTTTACAAACGGCTCTGTTTGTCTGTCTGTCTATCCATCCAGCACAAAAATGATTGGGTATAATTAAGGCAAAAAGCATCTCCGTGCATTCTGTAATAATTTCTAAAGAAATATACGTCACGAAACGTCAACTAAAGTGTGTCTGAAACTTGTGATAAAATGAGATTCGTTACGTTCGTTTTTCTCACGTGAATAGTGAACTGAGTTGAGACTGAAGAAAAAAAGGGACTCTGTTTTGTTTTTTTAGTTGTTTTTTTTATTAGAGTTTTACTTTGCAATCCATTCAGTAACTATTTTTATTTGTTGCATATTAATGAACCGAAAACGGAAGTTCGTTCCCATTGTTAAAACGGAAGTTCGTTCCTATTGTTAAAACGGAAGTCCGTTCCCATTGTTAAAACGGAAGTTCGTTCCTATTGTTAAAACGGAAGTCCGTTCCCATTGTTAAAATTAATATCAATTTCACTCCCTTGTTAACAAAATTATGTACTCCAGAGACGGGGGAACTTTTCGAGAGTGAGACTTCACTGACTGACGCGGTCCCAATGGAGATACGTGTGTACAGCTACACAGCCGTTCTGATTCCCCTTGTGCCAAATATTGTCACCATCAACCATTAGTAACGTTACTTTTAGTGAGTTTTATAAAAAGTTATTCTTAAGCATTTATTTTGATCTAATTAGCTGCTCATCATGGATGTAATTCAATTTTCAGTTTCTCTGTATCAATGTCAGTATTAGTAATAGTGTACACCTTTTTTTTTAATCATTACATTTAGAAGTTCCCCCTCTTGTTAAAGTAGTTACAACCCGAGTACCGAGTGGGGGTGGGGGAGGGGTAAAATTTATTTTTCGTATTTTTCTTTACAAATCAACTTATAAAAAACAGAAGAAGCGAACTAGGCCTAGCATTGAAATGGAATATATGGTTACAAATACTAAAATGGTAGAACGTATTCCTGACTATTGAATGTGTCTAACTTATTTATTTTACTAAAAAGAAAATTATATACACGACATTACTAAAAATAATGGGACACCACACAGTCAGCTTAAAATAGAACAGAACCTAACGAATTAGATAAGACCAAAAACGAATGATTGTTTGAAGAAATATACAAGACAGAAAAAGTCCGAAATATTTCAACTGGCAATAGCTCTAGGAACCATGATGACACCCTCAGCTTTTGTTTGTTTGGAACTAAGCACAAAGCTACACAATGGGCTACCTGTGCTCTTCCCACCACGAGTATTGAAACCCGATTTCTAGTGTTGTAAGTCCGCAGACATACCACTGTGACACTGGGGGGCAACACCCTCAGCTAAGCCTATTTCTAATAAACAACGGCAGCCAAAAACATTCAGCTAAGTCAATTTCTAAACAAGCAATTGCAACTCAGAACCATCGGCTGAGCCTATTTCTAAATAAACTACGGCAGCTAAAAACATTCAGCTAAGTCAATTTCTAAACAAGCAATGGCAACTCAGAACCCTCGGCTAAGTCTATTTCTAAATAAACTACAGCATTTAATAACCCTCTTCTAAGCCTATTTCTAAATAAACTACAACATTTAAGAACCCTCTGCTAAGCCTATTTCTAAACAAACTACCGCAGTTAAGAACCCTCTGCTAAGCCTATTTCTAAATAAACTACGGCAGAAAAGAACCTCAGTTAATTCTGTTTCTAAAACTACACAATCTGCACTTTTTCCACTGCGAGAAATCGAACCCTTAATTTTAGCGTTGCAGAAGTACAAATACACTAACTATGGTTAAATCATTTTAAAAAACCGTAATGTAGGTTTGATTAGACATTCTACTTGTGCCACTGGGGGACATGTGGATATATAAAGAGAATAGGAGTAGTTTCATTA